CCTGCATCGGCAGGCGGACTCTCAAGCACTGCGCCACCAGGGAAGCCCTATAATTTTTTTTTAAATCATCATTAGTCTCTAAAGGTGGAGGTCAGACATTACTGTCCCCATTATAAGCAGAAAAACATCAGCACACAGGTTAAATATTTTTTCCAAAAGATGAAAATCCTATATCTAACATCTCTTTTCCTAATGAAATTTAGCGACTGATTACAAACATTTCTGTTCAAAGAGTAACAAATGATCAGTATATATTACATACAGTAAAATAAGTATTATTTTTTAACAGAAGGAATATTCTGAAAGAGCTTCTATTAACTAGTCAATCATCTCAGTTTCCTGAATATAGGGCAAGCATGAATGTCTGAAGGAACATTTTCCAGGAATTATCATCTTGCTTTCTCTGTACATACTTTTACTCTTTCTCAAAATATTCATGTTTTAATATTTCCCTTGTAAACAGTTCATGCAAACACCTGGGGAGGTAAATATAAGCAAATTCCTCAGGGTTAACGACTAATGAAAATTAACTGCAGAACAGGTACCGACACCAGTTGCTTCTGTCTGGAACTCTTAAAAAAAAAACACTTTCTTTTTTCAGCTGTGACTAACTCAGCAACTAAGAAAGAGATCAAATTCTTCAATTCTTCTAAACCATACTAAAATAGTCAACATAAAAAATAGTGAATTATCTTTAATTAGCAGTAGATAGAATAGTTCAATCTTTAGAAACTGATTTCTAAATTCTTTACTATGCTTTTCAGATCACAAGATCTAATCCTGACTTTCTCCAGTTCTCTAAAATTCTCAATAAAGATCAGAATACTCCTATCACTATTTGATTTGAAAGACAGAATGAAGAGCATGGGGTTATTTGAAAAGCATGTGTGTCCCTCATTTTTATCATTGTGCCAAAAATGAAACAAATTTTAGCAGAGTATCAAATGTTGTTGTTTCCTTCTGTTTATTTAGCAATAAAAATGTGTCCCACCCCAATCCAAAGCAAATGTAGTAGAACAATTTATAAAATATTTAAAACTATTTTATATAAGTTTTCAATGAAAAGCAGTTAAAGCAGAAAACTCCTTAGGTATGTAACAGTTCTATGAATTTACCCTCTCAAGTAATAATGTGTTTTTTTTTTTAATTCTCCGTTTGTGTAAATCTCCCACAAATTAAAATTTTCATGTTTGCAAACACAATGAATATTGTACCAACTGTGGTATCAAATGCATAAAAACATAATTTTATCTGTACCTAAAAATAATATGTGTACCTCAGAAAATAATTAAGTCAGGTATATTTTTAGGTTAAAAAGTGCAATTCAGTTTTTGAAAAGCATGGTAGATTCACAGTGTTTGTTAATATTCAATATATTCCTTTGCATGTTCCAAAAATTAATTTTGGAAAAAAAGTTACATTGGCAGGTACTTACCTCAAAAATAAAAAGTATAGCATCCAATTCCTCCCTCTGAGACTTGTGACCTAAAACATTTTTATAGAAAAATATTTTAAACATTATCATTTTGTCCTCAATGTCAACAACCACTTAAAAAGCTTAAAATATTTCAAGCACTGAAGTTTTTTTTCTCATTAATAAAATGTTTAAAGTGTATTCTGTTCAATGTATAGACAACATCATAGCATCTCTCCCTACTCTTTTTAGACAGCTAAATTTAGATTCTACATATTTATGTCTAAAAACAAATCAGAATATATTGTGGAGAACTCTAAAAGAACTCTAAAAATGAATTTATGAAAATGACTGCTCAAACCTGACATATGCCTGTAGGGCAGAGCAAAGGTGAGAAAACAAGTAAACCTGACCAGAGAAAAAGGAAATCTAAGCCTTCTCAAAATAATAAGGATATTACTACTAACCCATAGTGTGAGAGGGGTGTTCTACAAGCTGTCTAACAAAAAGAAGCAAAATAATACTAAAATTCCAATGTCCAAGAGTATATTTTTAAGTGAATGTTTACGACAATTATTTGAAACATCAACATAAGCCAAAACTGATTTTAACATCTTACCTTTCTGTTTAAGACTAGCTTCAATAGTAACAAAATTCTCAAAAAACACATAATATATATGTGAAAAATGTTGGTCAAAAAACTGTTTAAGATCGATGGACTCTGCATTCTCTGAAAAATAAATGAAAACAGTTTTTAGTGATTACTATTTATATCACGTTCAGCAAATATTTATTGTGGCATGTTTCCTTCAAAAATGCCAAAGAACTGCTCTTAAAATTCTATTAAAATATTTAAGAGATGTGCTTATACATTTATATCCTTGTTCTCACAACTTTAGCTTTTAAAGATTTTAATTTTAAAAACTGGTCAAATCAGGTTATCATAATCTTTGTTTAGTAAAAGAAAACAATGCCTCAGAAAGTTTTATCCAAAATCATTAAAAAAGAAGTCAAGTTCTATTTTCAACTCACAGCTATGCTCTCCTAACTTTTCCCCCAATACAGTTAAAAATCAGTATTTCTAAGAGTAATAATACATGTCTAAAATACATTTACTTTAAATATCTAACAATAGGCTTTGCAAATAGGCACTTAAGTATTATAAAATTCAGGTAATACTGTTCTATAAGAACTGTCAGTATAGTCCAAGGCAGAGAAACTGAACATTTAACTGTATGCAGAGCAGAAAGTGTTGGGTACTAACACAAAATTACTTTCAAAACTCAATGAGGGGTGAAGGTGGGGAAAGAACAAACGCCTGACAGAGAATGTATTATCTGAAAAGACCTCTATGGACAGGAAGGCCTTTGGACATAAAGTGGTGGGTTTGAATGAGAAAGACATTCTCGGCATAAACAAAGACATGAAGTGAGGAAAGCAGGATAGGATGCAGAAAAATAATTCATTTTGGCTAGCTTTGAGCATTTTGATAAAAATAAAATAGAAAAAGTATCCTTGATATGTTGGAAAATATCATAAGTACAAACTAAGGAAATGGTATTTATTATTTAAAGCAAGATATCTACATCGTAGGTGTATATGTACTTATGCATTTTATTGTTTGGTTTATTTTCGGTGGGGGTGAGAAAGTTGGGGAAAAGGGGAGGAATTAAGAACTTTTACTTTATATACTTCCTACTATTCAAATTCCTTTACAAAAAGCACATGTCTCTTTTATAACAAACAAATTTGAAAAAAGCAACTGGAAAAACAAAGATTTTTTTGAACCTGGGAGTAAAATGAAGAATAAACCACTAACTGCTGATAAACTCAAGTTAAACATCAATTAATTTCTTGGAATGCTCTAAGGCTGAATGGAAGATTTCAGAATAAAGTTAAATAGTAACAACATACAGACAGCACTTTAAACTCTGGTGTATTATCTTACCCTATGAATATTCATAAATCTTTAATGACATCTCATCTATGGAATTTTCCAAGACTGTTTCCCTTTTGTTTTGCCCTCCCCAAGGAAGGAATGGATGCCCTCTCCTCTCTATTCCCTTGTGTTCTCTACATTTCTCTCTCATGGAAGTAATTATGTCTCAAGTGTTTCCTTGTCTTTTTTCCAGGACTAGTCTATAGTTTCTTTAGGATAGAAAGTGTGTCTACCTTAGTATTTCTAAAACCTAAGCACAGTGCTGAGCACATATGTACTCAAATGTGTTTTATTATTAATCAAATAAATTATTTTAATGTTATTGTATTCATTTTGTAGCTTGGAAATTTTTATCTTGGAAAAGACTGCATAACCTGACAGGCAAAATAGCACTGCTTCATCTTGACTGGAATCAGAACACCCAGATTCCATTCCTACCTGTAACACTATCTGTGTACATTTTCACAGAACTAGGGGAAAAAAAAATAATAACGGCTAACACAAACAATGTTTTCTATATGCCAGAAACTCTTCTAAGTCCTTTATAGAAATTAATTCCTAAAGTCCTTAGAACAACACTATGAAATAAGTACTACTATTATCCCTAACTCTAAAGATGAGAAAACAGGTATAGAGAGTTTAAGTAATTCAGTTAGTAAGAAACAGAGTCATGGATTTAAACTCCACACAGCCTGGATTTAGTGCCCATGCTCTTAACCTCTATGTTATTCAGCTTCCAGTGTAATATTGATACATCTATAAGAAAAATAAGAAAAGAACACTAGTAGTTTATCTGTTATCTGCCTGTAAGAAGATAAGAATAACTGTCATTGAATACTAGTTTAACATATTTTAGAGACTACCAAAATAAAACACATACACTGAGATAAACAGGAGAAGTATTCTGTTTTCCCCACTGAGTAGTTTGAAGTAACAAAGAACTAAGAAATGAGAATGAAATAGACTGCTACAATTACCGCTGAATTTCCTGAAATTAATGTTTCAAACAAAACTAATGTCCCAGGGGAAAGAAGCAAATGAGAACAATAACAAAGCAAAACAAAAAAATCAAAACAAAAGCAAACATGAATCAACTCAAGATTTTGCAACATAAATTTAGGAGCCAAGACAGTCTCTCTCAATTTCCTTCCCATGATACAGCATGTTACAGGAAGCCTGGAAACTACATACTTGCTAATAAAAAATACTGCATCAAAATTAGGTCAATTTGTTTTTTACTCTGTATCTATTTGTAATGAACTAATTAGCAAATAAAAACTCTTATAAAATATTTTTGTTCACCAATTCACAAAATTTACATAGTGGGGGAAAACAGGAAAAAACACAAAAAAGGTGGATATAAGAGAATAAGAAGGTTTCACTTATTGAAAAAGAAGTCTCTCTATAAAACAGTAACACAGAAGAAAGGAAAATATAAAAGGAAGGAAATCCACAAAGAAAGAGATTATGGAAAAACTTCTACCCAATACCTTTCCCCCAAAAATGCCCCAAACCCTTTATGTTTTCTCTTTTTGTGAATGCCTCCAGTACTTTTAGTCAGCATGGCTCCTAATTATGTCACATTAGTTAGTACAACTGTCCCTCGGTATCAGCAGGTGATGGTTCCAGGAACCCATCAGATGCCAAAATTGGAGAATCCCTTATATAAAATGACATGGTATTTGCATATAACCTATGCACATCTCCCACACACTTTACGTCACCTCTAGATTACTTATAATACCGGACACAATGTAAATGCTATGTAAATAGTTGCCTGGGTGCGGCAAATTCAAGTTCTGCTTTCTGGAATTCTCCAGACTTTTTTTCCTGAATATTTTTTATCCAAAATAGGTTGAATCTGAGGATGTGGACCCACCCCTCCAAAATGGAGTGCCAACTGTACCATTCTCTTACAGATACTGGATGCTCTTTGCGAGCAGAAAGCATGCCTTAGCTTCTTTTACCTTTCTAATTTTTTCAAAATTTTAATCTGAGGAAGTGCTAAACTGATGGATGGCACTTAAAAAAAGTTTAAGCATTCAAAAACTTCCCCCATTTTTAGAAGTACTTCTGTTTGATTTGCAATGTTTGTAAATTAGTATTTTCTTAAAGAAATCAAAATAAACATTTCAACCACAAATTAAGATTGAAGTTTCTGAGATTTTCAAAAAACTTACTCAGGCTTAGGAATGCTTTGAAGACCTTTGGGAATACTAACTTTAAGTAGCAAAACAGTTCTAGACTTCATTTAATTTTCACAAATAAAATTTCAGATGTCTCTAGGATCTTTTCATGAATAAGCTTCAAGAAGCTAATCAATATATTTCTTTCCTACTACATCTTTTGAAGACATCTAAGCTCTATAACAAATCTATAATTAAAAATTACAAAATTCAGAAGGCCAGTTTACCTGACCTTAAATTTCAGATACCTGTACTAAATACTTCCCTAGAAAAGTTATCACATAACCCATGCAAGATGACCAAAAATTCAACAAATTTTGCAATACCATCGTTCTTCTTCCTCATCTATATATTAAAAAAAAAGCCACCATTTAGAACTTTTCCTCAAATGATGGCACTATAATACACTAATCTGTGAAGTGTATCACAAGTAATCTGCTCCTGATAATAAAGCACTGAACAATGAAAATTATTGCCTTAAAATAATCAATAATAATGAGGACTGATCCAACAATACAGTGAATAACACAAAAAACTCTCTAATCGCAGAGACACAGAAATGCTGGATAAAAATAAATAATACAAGCTCAAAAAAAAAAAAAGGAAGAGGAGAAGTAGTAGAAGTGAAGAAAAGAAAGTAAGTAGGGGGCTTCCCTGGCGGCGCAGTGGTTGAGGGTCCACCTGCCAATGCAGGGGACACAGGTTCGTGCCCCGGTCCGGGAAGATCACACATGCCGCGGAGCGGCTAGGCCTGTGAGCCATGGCCGCTGAGCCTGCGCATTCGGAGCCTGTGCTCCGCAATGGGAGAGGCCACAACAGTGAGAGGCCCGCGTACCACAAAAAAAAATAGAGAGTAAGTAGGAAAGAAGGAGGTGGGATGGAGGGAGAGGTGTCATGAGGGAGAGGAGGATGGTGAGAATGTGGTATAAAGGCAGGAAGGGGTTGAAGGGGAAATATGTAGGAAAGGAGATGGGAAGGAAGTGAGGATGAGGAAAAGGGAGAATGGGTAAGGGAAAAGAAACACAAAAATGTAGTATTAAAATATAAGCAATATGGAGTCAAGCACAAATAAGGGGGGAAGTAGAAGAGAAAAGTAGGAGGAAAACAGAAAGAAGGTGCAAGAAAGAAGAAGGGGGGTAAAACCACACAAACAGGCTGGAAAATTATAAACAATACATTATCAAGTTCTAAGAAAAGAGGAGGGTATATGAGAAGGGAAAAGAAATTGAGAAAAGGGAGGAAGAGAGGCCAAAAGGAAGAAACAGAGAAATAGTAAGTCAGAAGACAGACTGATGCTATTACTCAGAAGGTAGCACAGAAAAATAATAAGATGGAAACAGACTGCTTGAGAAGCCCCAAGAACAAAGATAAAATGTAAGCAATATTCAAAGAAATAAGGTCTGAGTACTATCTAAAATTGGTGAAATATGTAAATAAATCTTCAGACTGAAAAAGCATAGTGATTCCCAAGCAGGATGAACACAAATCCACGGTCACATCCTAACTCCAAAAACAAAATGGAAATATTACAACCAAAAAAAGTTACCTACACAGAAATATCAAAACTAACAACAGACTTCTCATCAGCCCAATAGAG